ATATACATATAGTGTATATACTACAGGTGTGTCTAGTGCATTTCTAGTTTGTTCTTCATTCAGTGCAGTTAGTTACAGTGAGTATTCCACGATTTTACTCAAGTAAGAGTAGAGATATTTCCAAATGACATTACTCAAGTAAAGTCAAAAGTATGTTGTATAAAACTAATTCTAAAATAGGCTATTTTTTCCCTGAGTTACAAAAGTAAATGTAACTTACCACCCAACTCTGCCTTTCAAACATGGTTTTACTTACAGTAGCTTTTACTGAAGGAAACCCAACTTAAAAAAAACATGCATAGATATACTGTAATTTGTTGGGGAGGGGTTAGAGGGGTTATGCCCCACACAATAACTTGATTCAGTGAACATAACCCATCCAATAAAATGACATAATTTGCTCAAACACAATGAGAAATGAACTGGTTAAGTACACAGATGCAACTCTCTCGTTGTCTTTAGGTAACTTTGACATGATTTTAAAATTTACAATGTTATAAATATACGTTTAGGTATAATTGCTGAAAATGATATGCAGGGTTTTAGACCTGTTTTGTGTGTGACTAACCTGTTTGTCCACCATGTGGAGGCAGTGCATATAAGGCTGAGTTCACCTGAAACTCCTCTGACTGAGGAAGTCTGTTGGAGGAGAGACGAAACACTTTATAAGAACCTGTCCAGAGGACATACTTAGTTTGTTTTTTTTATTAATATGGCACTGCTGCTTTGTGTTACTGTATATACAAAGCAGAAACAGGATTTAGTGGTAAGTTCTACTGAACTTATTTCACAGTTTTGTATTTAAAATTCAATGTTTCAGAAAGTTGAGCAGAACAAGCTTTGCCATGGCTAACAGAGATTTTTTACAAAGTGAAAAAAGGAACTAATCGTTATAAGGAACAGCTCTTCCAGGAAAAAGTCATATATTGTAGCATTTTTATAAAGAGGCCTAGACTGCGCATAAAAYGGAATTAACTTTTCACACTGTGGCGTACTGTCTGTGCAAACACCAGGAAGTGCAGTTCTGCAGGTTCCAGAGTGCAAACATGAAAAAATGAAATTGTCCTGATGTTGCTGCGGACAGGACTCATCTCAGACGGCGAGCGTAAAGTGAGAAGATGACTGCATCCATTCCTTCGCTTCTAAAGGCAGCARCAGCATCGATTTCTGCTATTGATCAAAAGCTGCTGGAAAGATGCCGCTCGACTGCAGCTCGGATGATTTCTCRTTTAGCATTGATTTGTTCTTATACACTAAAGACCAAAGGAAATTAGCTTTCTGCGCTCTTATTGTGTGTTTCTTATATGAGAAGCTGATTTATTAATAACACCAGAAGTTGGGGGCGTTTAGGGGAGAAATGTAACCCCCATGTGCCCACCCCCACTTCAGCCGAGCAGATTGTTTATTTTTTCAGTGTGTGTATGGTCAGCCTACATAAACTCAGTGTGTGTATGGTGCACATAAACTGTGTGTGCATGCATGTGTAAACACAGGCTGTAGTTTTGCTGGCGTCAGAGGGATCCCATGCGTGATTGTGGACCATCAGCCCATTAGTTCTGCTCACAGACCGTGGGAAACAAAGCTCTGTAGTCCAGGTTCTGTATGTTGCATCAAGGAATTCTCCTTCCTGTGAGTATAACCCTAAATCAGCGCTCTGTGTGTCTCTCAGCTGGACTGACCACTCTGTGCAGCTTTCAGATGCTCATCAGACGATGTGTTGAAGCTTGTTTAGCCCACTTAATCTCACCGGCAACAATTGTTGCCGACATTTTGTTTTACGTCTGGAAGTTCTAAGAGTGTTATTTTGGCTTTGGGCAGCTAATTCAAGTTCCATCCACCCATCCATCCATCCATCCATCCATCCATTTTCTTCCGCCTATCCGGCGTCGGGTTGCGGGGGCAGCAGCTTCAGAAGGGAGGCCCAGACCTCCCTCTCCCCAGCCACTTCTTCCAGCTCCTCCGGGGGAACTCCAAGGTGTTCCCAGGTCAG